GCCCCTACACCAGCCAAAACAAAATGTTTTTAAAGACACTGTCTCACTAAGTAGCCAACAGACCTGGAACTCTCTATGTAGATTAGAGTGACTTTGAACTCACTGAATGCTGAGATTAAAGGCAAATACCACCATGTCCAGCAGATTTTAGTATTCGGATATTCCATGGAGAATAAATGCCAAATTCTGGTGTCAATTTAGGTCAATTAAATGTTTTTCAATAAACCTACAAATAAAAAAAACTTAGCCATAGTACGACAGACTACTGTCATGAAAATTAATCATAGCATATTTGGTCGTAACCGCAAGTAAGAAAGTGCACTCTTTTATCTACAGCAAGCTGCGGAGTCTCCCCAGAACCAGGTAGGAAAACACGGCTCCCTTCTTCCTTCAGCCCATGCACCCCACACCAGCACAGCTTCCCACAAGGAGAAACTGAGTCAGAGTGACCAGGCTATGACTAGATGACTCAACCAGAAGTCTTTCTTATTCTCCCAGACAAAAGGCCATTAACGCACAAATCAAAAAGTGACCAATGAAGATTTGGAGCACAGCAGAGGTGACTTTCCCAGCGCTGTGCTTGCCCAGAAGACAGATTCAGTCTAGCCAGGAAGGCGGTAACTTAGGAAGAAGATGCCTCAATTTAAACACATTTTAAAGGCCAGACATGGTGGCCCACACCTGTAACCCCAGCACTTGGGAGGTAGAGGCAGGTGGATCTCTGTGAATTCAAGGCCATCCTGGTCCACACAGGGAGTTCCAGGGCAGCTAGGGCTATACAATGAGGCCCTGCCTCAATAAAAAATAAACAAATGAATATTTTTGCTTAAGAAAAAGGGTTGAGGCAGCGGCGGCAGCGGCGGCGGCATGTGCCTCTAATCTCAGCACTCAGGAGGCAGAGCCAAGTGGATCTCTGTGAGTTCAAGGCCAGCCTAGTCTACAGAGTGAGAAATAGGACAGGCACCAAAGCTACACAGAGAAACCCTGTCTCAAAAAACCAATAAAGGAAGGAAGGAAGGGAGGGAGGGAGGG